GTTGCGGTCTCCATTGTGTCATTTCGTGCTGCATTTCTATTGGTTGATTAGTAGACGTAGGTCGTAGCAGCTGTCACGCTGTGAGATAGTCATCCTAAATTTCTGACACCATCAGAATTTTATCTCAGGTTATCTTTGGTCGCAAGACATTGACAACGGCTGTCCTTGAACCTGTCTCACAGTGCGACGTAAGACCACCGCTTTAGAGCCACGACCAAAGATATTGCCACGTTTCTCCCACGATGGTCATCTTTCGTCTGGGACAGCACAAAATCCATTACTCACCAAACAGAAAATGTATCTGCATTTGGCAGTTGGTGAGTGTTTTTTGTAACCTGAAAATAGTGGAGCATTTAGCAGCTTGAGAGACAGATATTTCCCTCAGTAGCTGGTTGAGACCAAAAACAGAGCAAAAAGTTGAGGGAATACCAGACTCAGATTGTTCAGGCGGACAGAAATGTGACAAATTAATGTTAATGTTGCTACTGGTTGTGCTAACAGGCGACTTATTGGTTTGCAGCAACTTCATTTCAATCAGGAAAGACAGAAGAATGAAGTAAAGATAATATTTAATACAGAACATGAGTGTACACATTAACAGATTATTTGTGCTGATTAAGATTTAACAGAAGTCTTTAGCGCTTGGACCCCAGAGGGAGATGTTTTGTGATCGAGGGACATCTGAGTAGCAGCAGGATAAATCCTCCCCATGAAGTCCAGACACTGGTGGAGGTGGCTGCTGACTCTGACGCTGCTGACTCTGAGGCTTCTGACTGCTGAGGCATATGAGGCTGATGAATCCGTAAAGACTGAGTGGTGAAGGGCACACGCAACGGCAGCAAGAAAGAACTACGGCAGAGAAAGAACCATATTTAAAATGAGGAGCAGTGAGATGATAGGCTGACAGAGAAGATGTGTCGCTGTGCTGTTGTTTGATTGTGAATCAGCTGATGACTCAACAGACCGACCCAGACAATGACACCTAGAGATAGTGAGTGAGCATACGTGCTTGATATGTCAAGTACGTACGTTCTGCTGCCTCCAAGTGGCCAAAAAAACAACAAATCCTGCTTTAAAGGAACTTAATGGAGTTATTGACCACTAGTGTTTTTGTAGTGTAATGTTTTTATTACTGGGTCTTCATATTGTTTTTATCTTGTTTTCCACCACAACAACAATGCACATGCACAACATAAGCAGGACGTTAACTTGGTGCAAAGTTCACAGCAGGACTGCTATAAAAAAGATGTAAACAATAGAAGTTTCTAAAGATTCATAAGGGATCTGCAGATGTTTTATGAGGCAGGAAATGCATTCAATGTGTTTTTAAGCCTTAAGGACACATATAACATAATTTGGTGAGAATAGCTGAATGTAAACAAATCCCTGTTTGTTTACAATAAAGACTCCACAGGACACTTTTAATCAAAGCATGTCCATGCATTATTAACCGCCCCCAAAAAAACTTTGTGAATTGCATCATCTACCTTTGATAACGACAAGTTCGCACACATCTACTTGCATCATCTGAAGTGCTTATGCTAAGGGGGCCACTGGTGTTGTGGATTACATAAGGCTGCCTGCGCTCTCACATACTGCAGGAGCCCACTCATATCAGTGGGTGACATCCCTCCAGGGCAATTTATGCATCCCCAGGGAGGCGAGAGTATGTCATCGGTGCAAACGATTGGCTTAGGCTCAGAGGGAGCATTTTAATTGTAGCTCGTGTCATGCTGAAATAATCAGGGAGGCTGTGGTGTCAGGAAAGGTTGCCTGCAATAAATAGTGTCGTGTTTCCGACGCCATGTGTTATTTTACAGGTTTTCTTACAGATACGAACACACACACACACACACACACACACACACACACCCTTTCGCAGAGTAAAGATAGGAGATGTCCACGTCATCTTCACCGTGTTTGTTGTTTTCCCAACAAATTAGTGCCACCTCAGTGAGGAGCTGTTATGTTATTTGCCACTGGAGGTGCTGTTGATTCAAAGAAAAGAGATTTTGTTTGAAGGAGAATTTGTACTTTTCTGCACAGATCAGAGGAGGAAGATGAAAGCAGTGTGTCTGTGTGGATATCAGTCTCAGTCACGAATGAGAAAAAGTGTTAGAACTTGATATTTTGGGTGTGTTTTTGCTACAATGTGCAACTTTATGAGATAAAACTCTTCACATTTTTATATAAAATGCCCCCCTCTTTCTCATGGCTTGGGATGGTTCATCATACTTTTATATGGCAGCTAATTTGAAGATCATTTCTGAGGAATTGTTTGTTCAGTTGAAAAGAAATCTTTAATTGAACTGCATGGGCCGCGCTCAACAGTGAATTACTGTTGTAAAGTCATTCCACACCTGAGAGGAAGTGTTTAGAAAATTCTAATTGTATTCCCATTTCGGCTGTCAGAGAGAACGAGAAATAATTTGCCAACCAGCTGACTGTGAGACAGGTGAAATTTAACGTTCAGGCTTTGAGAGAGAACTTGAGGTTTAATCTTAGCATCCAACCAGAAAATACTAATCCGTGTGAGGAGTCTGTGTATGTTCATTACCTTAAAAAAAAAGGAAGAAAGTAAAAGCCAAGTGGAGAACAATCAGCGACAGCACTCACCACGATTAAAGTCTCCCTGTGAGTGCCTTAGATAACTTGAGCAGTAAAACTTTTCCATTGTCCCTGTCCTATCAATAGAGGAGAGATAGTGAATGCAAATCCAACACAACCCACCTCTACTCCACGCTAAAGTGTGAGCTTAATTAGCTTCGGGAGCAGGTTTGTTGAACAAAAACATAAAGAACGAGACATTGATCAAGGGAAAGGCTAGGAAGATAAAGCGCCAAGAGAGCTGGGCAACCTGATTTGTCTTTAATTAAAAGTAAAAGGTTTATCCTTGCAGAAGGCAGCGGCTGGTCTCCAAAGGCCACTCCAATTACTGAGTGAGACAAAAGGAGGGAGTTCTATGAATCCAGGAGTGGTCAGACTGAGAGAGGCAGAGAGGTAGCGTTGCTATGGGGGGGTTTGATTTGAGGGGTGGTACAGGAGGGATGATATGTGTGAATGTATATTAGTGATGGGTGGTCCCATTGTTTTCACAGTGTCAGTTCCTTCGAGTTGATATAAATATAAATGTAAATATCGGTTAATGTTGCTTGCGATGGCCCGACAGTCTTGAAGCAGAAACTAACCAGTCAATTAAAAAAAAAAAAAAGAAAAAATGAGGTCAAGTACGAGGGGCCTTTCCTTTTTGTCTGGCGCTCCATTAACTCAGTGAGCTTTAGCACGGCATTTCAAAGCCTTATTCATTAAGAGGTGGTGAATTTCTTATGTTTTCTGATGTAAATATCTTGCCTTTTATTTTTTGTTAGCTTTGCTGACTGACAGCCAGCTTGGCACATTAGCATGCTTAAACATGCATAACACAGTGCCCTCTACCCACCCACCGGTCTCTACTGGTTAGCTAACGTTAGCCTAGGACACTCTGCGTCCACACCAGCTAGATTAGGTGGGAGCTGGTTAGCGGGACAGCTCAGTCACAGATTACTGCTGGTAACACCATCCCAATGGCGGGACAGCGTTGCTGCAGAACCATGGTGCCACCCTCCAGTCTCATCAACTTCATTTATTAACACAAACACCCATCAGCATTCAAAACTATGTTAGCACTACTAGCCATTCTGACAAGCGGTGCTAACAGTGATGCTAAAGGAGGGTTTGCAGGTCAAAATTGAGCCTCTTAGCTAATGGGGAGAAACTGGATGGTGGCCTCAGCAATACTGTTGCATAGGGACAGTGTTCCTTGCAGTAAATGCCAACAGATAGCTTCCACCTGACTCTACCTGCGCAGTGCAGAACAGCCAAGGCTAGCTTATAAGTGGACCAGAGCAGGAGTAGTGGGCACTATGTTTCCTTATGTTAACGCAGCTAGTGTGTTTCCCATGAGATCCGGGTGGCGGACAATGTAGTAACATTAAGCATGTCAGTCTGGTTAAAAAATATTCTTGTGGTTAACTAATTAACGGCTAACTGTAGACATCCCCAATGTAAATGTTTCAAACCTTCCAAACCTTTTTTTCCAAAGTATGGTGTCTGCTTCTCCATGACACTGACAAAATGTGCTGCCCGCCCCACAAAACGTCTGTTCATTACCAGTCGTCATGTATAAGTTTACATTAATAACGATAAAACATTCATTTTAATACGTTCATTCAACATCCCACTTGTATGTGGGGGGTGGCTATTTAAGCTCAGGATGATGTAACAGAAAAGTCACTGACATTCCTGACGTTCTTCGAGGGGCAAGTAGACATCCCAGTTACCTCCACAGCCTCATGCTGCATTCATGTGGTGTAAAAGTAATGTAAAAAAATTAGTTCCCAATCACATTTCATGGCTCACCTGATCTGTTTTGTTTGCTCTTTATTATCAACATGTTGTTCAAATGCTCGGAGCAGTAAAACACAAGACATCTCTGTAGTGTCCATGTTGTTTCCACATTACAACGTAAAGTTAACAAACACATCAAAGTTGAAAGAACAACCATCCAAGGAGCATGTGAATGCACCTTTGGACTTTTGCTTGAGAAGGTCTCAACTCGAGTCTAGTTTAATTGGTCCTTGCACGTTCCTTCAGTGCTGTTGTTGCACTACGTCATGACACGTTATTATTCATGAGCACTCAGACGTTTGACAGCTGACCCGGTACATACCAGACACCAAAAAAAGTCATTCAAAAAGAGTCATTAATTTATTTTTCATTAATATAGATGTGTGTGCATGTATGTGTGTGTGTGTGTCTTGCACTTGTGACTGTGTAAGTGCAGGGGCAGGAGGGAGAGGCAAGATATGTTTTTTCAATCTTTGAAGATGCATGTGTGTGTTTAAGTGTGTGTGAAGAGGTGGGGGCTGTGGAAGAGGGCGTCCCTCTCATGGTCCCTCCCCAGCCCTGCCCCTTCACATGGAGGAGTATCCTGTAGCAGGTCCCAAAACTGGAAACTCATTCAGTCCCTTCTGAATGGAGTGCCTTTAACGTGAGAGTGGAGGACTTAACTTTCAGCACGAATATATCACAGCCATGCATTCGGTCCTGGTCGGTGCTTTCCTGACCCTGCTGCTCTGCCTCCCCAGCCCCGGTCATGGAGGTAAGTGCCACTGCAAATCAATCTGTTAATGTCCTGTCCCCCACCTCTTCTTCCTTTCTCCCCTCTGTCAGAGATGCACGGGAAGAGATCAGATCACTGTCCCTGTCTGAGGTTTTCCACATGCATAAATCAGAGCCTCACAAGCTGATGAGTTAATGCCTCAAACTTTAACTTGATGAAACTTTAACCTGTACCAGTATTGCACTGAGCAAAAAGTTTGAGTAAACTCCACAGGTCTCCTTTATTTTATTCTCTTTACTTTTTTGTTGTCCACTCTCACAGTTTTCATGTCATTCAATGCTCAGCAGTGAAACCCTCCTTTTCTTGATGAAACTCAATACATGAGGGGAAAAGATGTGCCAAGGGTCTGACCCTGGCCCAAAGTCTGAGACAACATCTGTCGGTTTCTCATCTGAAACTTTTTTTTTTCTTTGCCTTTCAGCCTGTGCCAGGCTGAGTGTATGAGAGCATTTACCTTGAGAATGTTTGCATTGAAAGCTTGTTGCCAAAAGGCAGGAGGTAGTGAAGTTGGAGCCCTCTGTGGATAGGAGGTGAGCTGAGGTCCCTCTGCCGGCAGCAATGAATGGCTCTTTGAGAGGGAAGTACACAGTGGCAGGCAGAGCTGCTCCTTATCCACCCAGTGAGGAGAGATGAAAGTGTGGCAGAGAGAGGGGGCTGGTAGGGGAGTGTGAGAGGCAGTGTGTGTGTTGGGGAAGGGGATGCTGGAAGGCCAAGGCCCTCACAATGGCCCCATAGTGCATGAGTAAAGTCTGTAGATGTACCTTTCTCAGTGTGACATGATGCAGCAGCTCCTCTTCTCCTTCCTCCTGAGCGTGAGTACAGTTAGTGTGGGATGTACAGTGTTTGTGGGTGAGGCAAATCCGGTATGTTGATGAGAAGTTGAAACACTGTCTCCAAACAGCTTAACCAGCTCACCTCAGCGCAAAATTGTACATATGGCAAGTTGGCAGGATCAGCCTTGGACTTAGAGCAGCTGTTGAGCCCATTGTCTTCTGCCGGCTGTCAGATCTTCAAACTCTCACTGCAAATTCCACTCCAATTAAGTCCGGGCAAACCTCTCCATGAGTGTCTCGTTGGCAGCTAGAGTGAAAAAGTGTCTCTTGATCTGAACGGGGGAGGATCGCTTTGTTTCAGTGGCAGAGAATCAAAGTTCAGCTGGAGAGCTGGATTCAGATCGTCTGCACTGTGATCTGTTCACCGTGAGCATGAAAAGAGTCATCTGCCCTTCTGTTTGCTCATTTATAGATAAACCCCACTGACTGGCGCGACAGCGACACCTCCACGAAAGAATTAGCTGTGCGCTGAGCAATCAGTCATTGCTGTCAGAGTGTGGTCACATTGCATTTGCTCATGATTTACAGAGACCTTTCTGCATGTCAGTGTGCAGTATCTTGAAGAAGTATCTAACCACTGGAAGATTCATTTAGTTTATTTAATTAATGCGCTGTCTATGCAGTAGAGAGACGCAAGAGAGACGCAAATACTTCTGAAATTGGTGCTAGAAGACCAGACAAAACAGCAGTAAAGGCCTGTCCCATTGGCTTCTGTTCAAGATTTAGTTAACCTACAACTACCAGAATGCACTGCGTCGCACTGAACCAATAAAAGCTCCCGCTGGTGGGTGACCTTATTGGTTTTGACGAGATGTGTATAGCTGCAGCCACACCACACAACACATCCCTACAAACCACAATCGCAAACCCTGCTGCAACACAACATTAAAGTGAACACATATGAGGCCAAACAGCAAAAACCCATGCTATTTAGTATTAAGATGTAACCCTTCCTTAACCTTATCCACGTCTCCTTTAAGCGTACACTTCATAGCTAGCTGAACGCCAACTTAGCATTTCCTTTGGGGCTTCAGCTTCCAGACTTAGTAGCAAAGGAGGCTGATCATGTAGGTATAGTGGGTGGGTCTTGTAGCTTCTCCAGCCACAGCTATACTTATTTGGTTTTGATACAGAAAACAATATGGCAGCCAGCCCGTGACAAGCAATCCCAAATTACAGCCAAACAGTACACTAAAATATCTTTCTGAAAACATTTTAAGCGAGAAATAGGCAATGCAAGGACAGAATGTTGGTTCATATTTCATCAGAACTGCTTAGTTTAGCCTTTTGATCTGAGTTATTGCAGCCTCTGTGTCCACGATACAGGAAATAGCATGCCCACTTCCTGTTTGCTAATTCTCATATTGAAGCTTAACAGTGCACTAAAATATGGTTCTGAAGATATTTTAGGTGAGAAACAAACAGTGCAGTAATTGAATCTTGGTTTTAATTTGATCTGCACTGACTAGTTTTACGGTTTGGTCTATGTTTGGACTGAGTTTGAGAGAAAGAGAGACGTGTCTTTCTTTCGATCTACTTCAATGCTCTTTTGAAAATGCGAAAGTACAATTTGTAGTTTGTGCAAAAGCCCTAGAGCCAACTAAAAATCCAACCGGATGATGTCAGATTTGAGCTGGGAGATGAGCAGGATGATGTGGGCGTTGGCATGACAGAGGGAAGTTTATCACAGTTCATGTCCACACACTATCCACGTTGTTACGATACAAAGCTGTTTGAAAATTGACAAAGTACCCCTTTAATGCAGTTATTCATAAAGTAGTTAGCATTATAGTTACTTCTGACTGGCTAAATGGTGCAGTAGATGTAATTTTCCACATAACCAAATTCTCCTCTAATCAAAACGATGGCAGAACAAAACAGGAAAACTGTATGAGGGAATAATTTCTCCTCATCTAATTATCTGTTGGCACAATCCTCGCTGCCTCAGTGTGAACAGTACTCACCCACTGACCCTCGAGAACTAATTGCTAATGTTGACCAGATGTACCAAGTCACTGATTAGATTTTGGCCCCCCTTTGCTCTCACAAAATCCCTGCCACAAGCTGTCGGGGGACTCTTCCACCAACCATGTAGTGGGCTCACAGAGGGTTTCATTTCTTCCCTGTGTTTACATCTTCAAATGTCACAGGCCACAAGCCCACATGACGTTCTTCAAGCCATTGGCACCTTTCTTTACCAAGGCACTGTGCAATCTTTCTTCAAGTGTTAAAGTGGTCTACCTGCACCCACTCTGATTATATTTCTCTGCCATCAGGAAAGTCTTGCTCAGAAGTGGTTTGAGTCATATCATGAACACAGTAAGCTTCCCCCTGTAATAACATTTTCCATGAGTTTTCTTCAATGATGCAACCTACCACTTTCCCATAGTCTTACGCTGTTGTGCTTCCTCCACCCACAGAACAGCCTCGAGAACAATTATGCTGCAGTGTGAGGAAATGCAGGAGCTCACCAAATCAATTCTATAATTTTCTCCACATAAAGAATATATGAAGAAAATTTGAGAATGGTGAGATGTGAGATTAAGTGTTTCACATGCACAAAGACTTGTCTGTTTAGCCCTCTGCTGGTCTGACTCACCGGATATAGACTCTGGCTATAAGCCTGCCATTGGTTGACTACTTAGGCTGGCATTATAACCCTCTTCTACTATCTGTGTGTTACTGTTTTCAAATCCCCTTCGCTACGGGAAACAGCAACAACCTCCGGGCTAACAAGCTACACGCTGAAAGTGGCAAATTTTGACAAAGATTGAGACTGCGTAATAAGGCTTGCCTTGTTATTTCAGGGAATTGTAACGATCTTGGAGTGGCTGTGGCTCAGAGGTAAAGCAGATCGTCCACCAATCTGAAGAGAGTTCGATCCCTGCATGTCACAGTATCCTTGGACAAGATATTGAACCACAAATTGCTCCCAATGGCTGTTCCATCGGTGTGTGGGAGCGTGTCAGTGGTTTCTGAGTAGCAGGTGGCAACTTGTATGGTAGCCTTGGTCACCAGTGTGTGAATGTTTGTGTGAATGGGTCAGTGTGACTCAGCAGTGTAGAAGTGCCTTGAGTGGTGAGAAGACTAGAAAGGCACTATACAAGTGCAGTCCATTTACCATTTACTTGTGAACAGTGTCACCCCCAAGAATTTTTGATAGGTGTGGCCAGATGGGGCCACTGAAAATCTTGGGGTGGCATACCGAAACCAAAAGCCTTAACTCATTTTTTTTTTCCTTAGAAAGACAAATATACAGCTCTAATTTGAAGAACTACATTGATTCTGAGGAGCAAAACATTTACTTCGAACAACCCTTCTCAAGTTTAGTGGAGTGAAATGGACCCCTTTGAAAATGACCATGCCAGGGTTTCCTGCGCCAAAATTTGGCCTTACTTTGGAGCATTATTTAGCCCTCTTCCTGACAAGCTGTGTGGATATTATTGATATCACTACCTTTGCGCTAGCTTAAAACGAGCCTGCCATAGCCTATTAAAGTTGGTAATATTGGCCTGCTGTTATTTTCTCTAGACTCCAGTAAGGGGGGGCAGAGGGACCGATGGCCCAAGCCCAGACCCCGCCTCACAGGACTTGAATGGCCAATATACTGTAGGTCTGTTTTCCGACACAGCCAGTCGCAGGTGATTTGCCACATTTTTCTACCATGGCAGTGGCATGTGCCAGTGACACAGACTTCACCAGTGTACCGATCCGTTCCACTTCACACAAGCTTCTGTAATATCGTTGGGAGAATATTCTGCAAGAGCCACATACAGCTAGCACATCGACTGTGTGGTTTTCTTTTGTGGAGAATTAACCATTTAAAACAGTGTCACCTCCCGACATGCAAATGTTCCACCAAAACAAGTTTTGCCTGACACTGTTTTGCAAGGGCTGATTGCTGCATGCTAGGCTTGGTGCCATCCAAGACGATTGTGATTGGTTTAAAGAAATAAAAACAAGCTAGAGCGTTTTTATCACAGCAGAATGATAATGTGTGCTTCTGGTGCTGACAAAGCACTGTGGAGATAGGTCTGGCTTTGTGAGACTAGCCTTCTGGTGATGGTCACGGCCCTCGAATCAATAACACCGTCTTTCACTTACCTAAGCTTCTGATTACCTGCCAACCCCATTCAGATCCTGTAT